TGGGAGGGGACTGGGAGGGACTGGGAAGGAACTGGGATGGTGTGCTGGTGGATGTTGGCTCCCCAGGTGCCCCCAGGTGTGCCCAGGTGCCTCACCTAGTCCTTGAGCTGTGCCAGGAACAGGGGCAGCAGCTGTGCCCAGGTGTGCCCATGTTTTACCCTGTGTTCCCAGGTGCGCCCAGGTGTGCCCAGGTGCCCCCAGGTGCCCCCAGGTGTGCCCAGGTGCCCCCAGGTGCCCCCAGGTGCCCCCAGGTGTGCCCAGGTGCCCCCAGGTGTTCCCAGGTGCCCCCAGGTGTGCCCAGGTGCCTCACCTCGTCCTTGAGCTGTGCCAGGAACAGGGGCAGCAGCTGTGCCCAGGTGTGCCCATGTTTTACCCTGTGTTCCCAGGTGCCCCCAGGTGCCCCCAGGTGTGCCCAGGTGTGCCCAGGTGCCCCCAGGTGCCTCACCTCGTCCTTGAGCTGTGCCAGGAACAGGGGCAGCAGGTGCTCCACCGTGTTGTCCTTGCCCAGGATGGGCGACAGCCCCATGATCACCGAGGCCAGCGCCGACTTCACGTGCTGGTTGGCATCCGACACCAGCTCCTGCCCAGGTGGGCACAGGTGGGCACAGGTGGGCACAGGTGAGCTCACCTGGCCTCGGGGCGGAGGATCACGGTGCCCCCGAGGCCACCAGAGGTGTCCCCAGGTGTGCCCCATGTACCCCAAGGTGTGCACAGATGTGCCCCAGGTGGGTCCCACCACCCCAAAATGTGCCCAGGTGTGCCCACAAGGTGTGCCCAGATGTGCCCCAGGTGGGTGCCACCACCCCAAGGTGTGCCCAGGTGTGCCCAGGTGTGTTCCACCACACCAGGTGTGCCCCAGGTGTCCCCAGGTGAGTCCCACCACCCCAAAATGTGCCCAGGTGTGCCCACAAGGTGTCCCCAGGTGTGCCCAGGTGTGTCCCACCACTCCAAAATGTCCCCAGGTGTGCCCCAGGTGTGTTCCAGGTGCCCCCAGGTGCCCCGGGCGCTCACCTTGATGCAGGGCAGGATCTGGCCCATGATGACGGCCTCACGGCAGTCCGGGGACAGGTTCTCGCAGAACTCTGGGGACACCGAGGTGGGCATGAAGAACATCACAGTAGGGTTGGGGACACCAAATTTGGGGTGAAAAACACCAAAGTTGGGTTGGGGACATCAAAATTGGGTTGGGGACATCAAAATTGGGTTGAAGGACATCAAAGTTGGGATGAAAAACACCAAAGTTGGGTTGGGGACACCAAGGTTGGGATGAAGAACATCAGACTGGGGTTGGGGACATCAAAATTGGGTTGGGGACATCAAAGTTGGGTTGAAGAACACCAAAGTTGGGATGAAAAACACCAAAGTTGGGTTGGGGACACCAAAGTCGGGGTGAAGAACATCAAGGATGGGTTGAGGACATCAAGGTTGGCTTGGGGACACCAAATTTCGGTTGAAGGACATCAAGAATGGGTTGGGGACACCAAAGTTGGGTTGAAGAACATCAAGATTGGGTTAGTGACATTGAAGTTGGGTTGGGGACACCAAAGCTGGGATGAGGAACATCACAGTGGGGTTGGGGACAACAAATTTCAGGTTGAAGAACATCAGAGTTGGGATGAAAAACATCAAGGTTGGGTTGGGGACACCAAGGTTGGGTTGGGGACACCAAAGTTGGGATGAAGAACACCAAGGTTGGGTTGGTGACACCACGGTTGGGCTGGTGACACCAAGGCCGGGTCGGGGACACCGAGGTTGGGTTGAAGAACATCAAAGTTGGGTTGGGGACACCAAGGCCGGGTTGGTGACACCAAGGTTGGGTTGGTGACACCAAGGTTGGGTTGATGACACCAAGGTTGGGTTGGTGACACCAACGTTGGGTTGGTGACACCAAGGCCGGGTCGGTGACCCCGGGGAGGGCTCGGGGGGGGGCCGCTGACCTTTGACCTTGTGCGAGGCGGCCGCCCGGACCTCGGCCTCGCAGTCCTTCATCAGGCTCTGGAAGGCGCCCACCAGGTCGGTCTTGGTGATCTCGGGGCCCACGGCGCGCTGCAGCTGCGGGGACGCGGCCCAGGTGCGTCCAGGTGTGCCCAGGTGTGCCCAGGTGCGCCCAGGTGTGCCCAGGTGAGCTCAGGTGTGTCCAGGTGTGCCCAGGTGTGCCCACAAACATCTCCCAGGCTTCCCAAAATGACCCAAACCTCCCCAAAACCCATCCCCAGGTGCGTCCAGGTGTGCCCAGGTGAGCTCAGGTGAGCTCAGGTGTGCCCAGGTGTGCCCCCAAACATCTCCCAGGCTTCCCAAAATGACCCAAACTCCCAAAACTCATCCCAAACCTCCCCGAAACCCATCCCCAGGTGTGTCCAGGTGTGCCCAGGTGTGTCCACAAACATCTCCCAGGCTTTCCAAAATGACCCAAACCTCCCCAAAACCCATCCCCAGGTGTGCCCAGGTGTGTCCAGGTACACCCAGGTGTGTCCAGGTGTGCCCAGGTGTGCCCAGGTGTGCCCCCAAACATCTCCCAGGCTTCCCAAAATGCCCCAAACCTCCAAAACTCATCCCAAACCTCCCCAAAACCCATCCCCAGGTGTGCCCAGGTGTGTCCAGGTGTGCCCAGGTACGCCCAGGTGTGCCCAGGTGTGCCCCCAAACATCTCCCAGGCTTCCCAAAATGCCCCAAACCTCCCCAAAACCCATCCCCAGGTGCCCCCAGGTGCTCCCAGGTGTGCCCAGGTGAGCTCAGGTGTGCCCAGGTGACCCAAAATCCCCATTTTTCACCCGATTTTCACCGAATTTTTTCATTTCCCCCCTCCCAGGTGTGCCCAGGTGACCCAAAATCCCCATTTTTCACCCGATTTTCACCGAATTTTTTCCGTTTCTCCCCTCCCATGTGTGCCCAGGTGCGCCCAGGTGACCCAAAATCCCCATTTTTCACCCGATTTTCACCAGATTTTTTTTGCTTCTCCCCTCCCAGGTGCCCCCAGGTGCTCCCAGGTGCTCCCAGGTGACCCAAAATCCCCATTTTTCACCCGATTTTCACCGAATTTTTTCCGTTTCTCCCCTCCCAGGTGCGCCCAGGTGTGCCCAGGTGTGCCCAGGTGCGCCGCCCACCTCGGTGAACTTGTCGGCCACCATGTAGCGCACGCGCCAGGACTTGTCCTCGGCCGCCTGGCGCAGCGTGGGCATCACCAGCCCCTCCAGCTCCTCCTGCGGCAGCAGCTGCGCGATGCTCACGCAGGCCTCGACCGCCAGCAGCCGCACCGAGTCCTGCCCAGGTGAGCACAGGTGAGCACAGGTGTGCACAGGTGTGCACAGGTGTGCACAGGTGAGCCACAGGTAACACCCAGGTGACCCCAAGGTGACCCCCAGGTGACCCCCCCC